AAAAAAAAGTCATGGCCGACGCATTGAGAGAACGGTTTTACCTTACTATGTTTTTATCTTGGTATAGGGTAGGAATGTTCGATATTTAAGAAAGTATCGATATCATGAATCGATTTGATTCATTGCATGTAAAATCAATATGCCGATATATCGGGCTGAACAATATCGATATTGAAAAAAATCGATGTTGAAAATCCTGCTCCCAATTGAATAGAATATTAAACCTGCCTCATTTCACCTAATTGTGTTATTTCCAATTTGTATATTTACTGAGGATTAAAACTTAAGAACTAAATAAATCACACAAGCTGCTACACTTTTTTGTAGATGAAAAATAAATTTCAACTTAAATATCGATATTGCGGGTAAAGTATCGATGTCTTCGATATATCGACTTTGGAATGTCGATTCAAAAAATAGATTATCGTGCCATGATACGATATCGAGGATTCCTAGTATAGGGTTAAGAGTTGACATTTCAGTCGCAGTTCAAAAGAGAGAAATGTCGAAATCATTTCAACCTTGTTATGCCTCATGATGAAATAATGAAAGGTGTTATACCATCGTATATACTTACAAGTATGGAATCCTATGCCCCTTTTTGTCTATTCTCTTTCTAACAACGGACGTGCCTGCCAAACAGCGGACGTGCCTGCCAAACTGAAAAGCATGATGGCGGCAGTGTTTGACAGGCACGTTCGACGATGCGAACGGCAATGGAAGGTAAGACATCTAAATTTCCCTACATAGATTTTATGTGATTGCCGATAGATTGATTACCGGCATTTCCTCTGTGAACTTTTTTTAACTACATTCATAAAAAAATTACTAATTTTGGTTTCTTTTTTCATCTTGAACTGGTACATATGTTTGTATGTAAAATTCATTTAAAAACGTCATTTGCCCAATATGCACGATGCAGCGAACAAAGGTGGCACCGTCAGACATACCCCTACTTTGAATTTGTCGATTTTGATAATTCTGATCTAAAAGTAAACGACGTATCAGAAACTTTAAATGTACTGAAATTCACTTATACTTCCAGAAAAATCACCGCTTTTTCACATTTTCCTTATTAATTGTCATTGTAACTCATATATTTTTAGAATTCAGCGCAATTAAAACACGCTTACTATCGAAAAATTTATTATTGAGAAAATTGGCTGGTCTGATATTTTCTTTTAACATGCAATTCGGCTTTGTTTACTTTTTGTACAGAAATGTCATCGCCACTATGACGGGGCAATCTTGTACTCTTTCTTGTCAAATATGCATTTTGATGTAACTGCTATGAAGCTATGAATACTCATTAAAATCGTTTCACATTACATACTTGTAGTCTAAATCATGATAAAAACATAGCAAGGTATAACCGTTCTCTCAATTTGTCGGCCATGATTTTTTTTTGAAGTTTGAAAACATTTTAAAATCATATAAATGTGAAAATAAAAAAATGAAATTGTTCGAAATTGTTGTTGCTTGAGATTGAAAATGAAAATGTGTGTGTGAGTTTGTGAGTAAATTTAAAAATTAAATTGTTTGGAAACGTCAAGAATTTTAAAAGTGGCTCTCAGCGGTTCTACCTTACTATATTTTTATCATGCTCTAAATATATTTTTTAATATGAACTAGCTTTTTTAATTCTAGAAAATATCAATAATCACAAGAATTATAAAAATTTCTCTTCAAAAGATACGTTTCAAAGCATCCCTGTTGATGCCATAATTCAAATAAAAATTTGAATAGAAATTTTGATGCAAATGATCATACAAATTTCTTTATTCTTTATTTTCTTCCACGCAAATTTACTCATTACTTTAAATGGCTTTCATCTTTTTATTTTTGTAAAAAATAATATAAACATGTTGCTCTTGCCAGCTGCAATAGCTTCAATACACTAACAAAAGTGTGAATACCCAGTGCCCAGCTTAGAACAAGAATCCTAGCATTTTGCCTCCCAAATGTTACCGTCTGGCCTCCTCAAGATCCATAATGCCTCCGGAGTTAGTCAACACAACGTAACCAAATTGACGAGAAGGCAGCAAGTTGTTGGTCCACTTCCAACCATTTCAACCAATTTATGCGATTTAATGGGCCTCATGCATAAAAAATTAGTCTAAGGTCAGACTCAATTTTTGCACTAAAGGGGTGAGCTTAAGCTCAAGAATTTGTACTGAAAATCGAGTTGGAGCTTAAATTCACATTTAATGCATGAAGTCCAATATCTTTACTGCTACCTTGTGTTGCGTCCAGTAAATAGTGGCCAATTTTTACGAGTGCCTGTGGGCCTCTGCCAGTGATTGTGGCATAACGTTGATGTAAGCGTAAAATAAAAAAAGGTTTGGTAAGGTTTTTCGGGCCGCTGCTTAGGCCACAATCGCACACATGCGTACGTGCTGCGTAGAGACGTAAATTATAGTTTCCCCGAGCTCCAGTTTCTTATCGCACTATTATTTCCCTTATTACTTATAATTCTCTGCCACGATTTGCGCTGCTCGGGCCACGGCTGCTTGTACAAGAAAATAAACCATTTGTTTAAACCATGATCATCTTACTTGTCCGTATGTCGCTCTGGAAAGAAATATATATTAAATTATATGTTTTCTTAAAAATAAATGCAAATTGACCTAATTTTTCCACCGGCAGGCACGAATATGATGTTCAAAACAAAAGCAATGACAACGAATTTCACACACATTGATGTATTTTAGCGCAAAACGATAAGTTTCACAAATATTTTAAATTATTGCCTGGAACATACACATTTATCGTTATTATTGGAAATGCAAGACTTGGCACGCATTTTTAATTTCTTTTTTATTGAATTCAAATAAATAAAAACACATTTTTCTAAAATATTTCTCAATTTACATTTTAAAGTTTTTTCTGAAACTTGAATGTAACTCTGTGCGGAGAATGAGAGAATTGAAAATCAGGTGATCTCAGCTGTTTTCAAATGTAAACAAACAAAATGGCGCTTTCCATACTTGTAAGCCTATACGATGTGTTATACGTTGGCAACTTCTCGCTCTAATCCTCCATCTTGAACTACCTTCGGAGAAACTGTGTTGTTTCTTTGCTAATTTCACTGAACATTTCCCAAAACAATAGAAAAAATTCTAAACAAGCTATATTGATTCGTTGTTCGTTTTGTTCTTATTCACTGACATTTGTTTTGTAATTGCCTTTAATTTGGTAAGTATTGTAATAAAACCGAATTATTTCACAAATAAATTATAATTTTGCATTTATTAGGTCATTTCCTTAGTGTTTTTTTGTTTTTAAGAGCTAATACACGTAAGTTACAACATATTATTTTGACTTTATTGATGAACCATCCCTTTTTCAGCATTCTCTGGTGAACTGCAGCTGCGGCCAAATTTGATTGTGTGAATCATCCTGCAGATATTTTTAAGTAAGTTGGAACCAGCTCTTTTTTATTTCAAATCCTAATGAACCATTTATTCGCAGATTTTGTGAACGATTCTGCTGTGCTGCTTTCCTGCTCCGCCTGTGTATGTCTCCGCCCGTGTTTTATAGTGTTGCGTTCCTGTTGCGCCTTCGTGCGCGTTATACTTTAGACACGTTGAAGTAAATTGAAACCAGGTTTTTGTTAGTTTAAAACCTAAAAAACCATTTATTTGCAGTTTTTTCGTATGCTTCTGCTGTGCTGCGTTCCTGTTAATATGCATATCATCGTTTAAAGTACAAAACCGCGTATCGCCATTATGCAAAACCGCGTAACTGACATTTGCTGCCAAAAATTGAATTGGCTCACACAAGCTCTTGGCTGAGTTGGCTCAATCCTTATCCATTCGTCCTTAAAAATACTAGCCAAAAATGCGATTGCTTTATAAAAAAGATGAGTGCTTTTACTCTCTTAAAAATAATTTATGCAACCTCACATACGTGGTTTTGCATTATCTTGATACGCGGTTTAGCATTTTGTTGATACGCGGTTTTGTACTTTAAACGACGATATGTAGTATGTATGTATATGCATGTCCATAGAAATAAGCGTGTGCGCTGTTAGGAGTCGCCATAAATCAACACCTCTTCAAACCTGGAAACTAGATTCAAAAAAGCCCTATCTCAAATGAAAATACTTGGAAAATGTGCTGAGATAGGGCGTTTTGAATAGTCAGCTGAGATAGGGTGTTTTTGAACCGAGTTCTGAGATAGGGCGTTTTTCAATCAAATTCTAAAATACTTATACTTACCGCACACCGTCGTCAAAAGAGGCACAACTCGAAAATTAGATCGGGAAATATAAGTGCTAGTGGATCGTACAGATTCAACGCAATTGATACAAAAACAAGTATAACATTAAATGGTTTTCTAGTTAGAGAATATAATCATGAAGAAAAAAATATTTTCATTAATTTGAAAAATATCCTACAGATTTATTTATGCAAAAAAAATCCCCCAAATTATTTTTCCATTGCATAATACTTTAGCAAATATAAATATGCGGATTTTTGAAATATTAAAAAGTTAAGGCACAGATATACTTAAAGCAAAATTTATGATGTACCTTTTTAAAAATTTATTGATTAATTTTTATATTTCGTATAAGAATTTAGTTGAAATTTTAGAGTTATGTGAAAATTGTAAACAAATCTTCTGTCTAAAAATATGGTAGATTTTAAGCCTTTTGTGGTAGATGTGTTAGACACCCAAATTTTAAAAAATATGTGGTAGGGGTTTGCACACTGACTGTAGTTACCTATATTTCAAGGAACCGAACTTGACAAACCTTGACAAGCAAACAAAAATACCAATATTTAAAAATATTACTCAACAAAAATATCAAAACAGACCGAGTTTAAATTTTCTAAAAAAGGCCATATAAAAGCAATTTACTTAAATTTAGTCTTAACCCTGTCGGAAAAATGCAGACAATCTCAAAAATTTACCAATCTAAAAAGTAGTTGGAATTCAACTGCTTTGAAACAAATGCAGCGTGCGACCGTTCAGTTCTTCAGTTACTTTTTTTAATTATCATTTCGAATGCAGAATTTACAGCCGTGCGTACAGCAGAATCCCAGCAAAAAACACGATTACCAATGCAACGAAAGTGGCGGTAGGAATCGCTTACCCTTTCGCTTCAAGAAGGCATTATTTTAATATGGGCATGTCATTGGCCGTAAGCCCTTACCCGCAGCATTACCTTCGAACGAAGGGAGAACGCATGGATAAACAGAATCCAGAGAAGCGAACAAAGAATACCTTACGTAGAAACTACCCAGTCGGAATGCAACTACTTTAAAAGCAATTTAAAAAGTAATTTTTAACGAACTACAAGTGGTTGGAATTCTTCCTTTTTTCATATAAGCAACTAACTTTATTAACATGGCGATGCCCTAGGAGCAAGTCAATCATCCGATTCGGCATTTGATTTCAACTACATTAAAATATATTTGGCTGATAGGACATTAAAATGAGTTCTTTGCAGCTGGAATAAAATTAGTATATTTCCAACTATTTTAAATTCTATTTGTTTCTAACTATTTTAAAATCGATTCGTTTCCAACTCTTTTAAATTTTGTTTGTTTCTAACTATTTTCATACCTGTCTGCTTTCAACTATTTTAAAACCTATTCCTTTCTAATTACTTGTATACCTGTCTCTTTACCACTATTTAAAAATATGTTTATTTTGCGCTAACTATAACATTTTATTGTTTTTTCTCTAGGCATTCTACATTAGTTTTTCTGTAAGGCATTCTTTGTTCGTTTCTCTTCGCTTCCAACTATTTTAAAACCTAATCGTTCCTAATTACTTGTATACCTGTCTGCTTACCACAATTTAAAAATATGTTTATTTTGTGGTAACTATAAAATTTTATTCTTTTTGATCTAGGCATTCTACATAACCCTGTCGGAAAAATGCATGAAGGTCTCAAAAATTTACCAATTTAAAAAGTAATTGGAAATCATTTCTGAGTCTATAAATTAAAGGAAAACGATCATGTGGCCCAAAACGCGTACAGTTACAATACGTTTTGGCTCACAGTGCTTTTCAAATACCGCTCAAACTCGCTAGAATATAACTTTGGGATAGTTTTTCTTCTTGCATATGAAAGCAAAAGTATGTACTAATATTTACTATATGCCTAAAACATATTGTACCTCCTGTTGGTTAGGAGTTATAAATGTTTCAACAGCGGACTGTTACATTACAATTTTTGAAAATAATTTTTAAAACTGCTTTATATTATCGAAAAATTCTGCTCTCCTTATATAAATCAAGAACTACGTACTTATTGAACTGATAAAATTAATTTTGACGTCAATACTGTTACGTTACCTGTGCGATATACATACGTGTAGATTATAATTAGGTTTTTAAATGGCTTGTAGTCTGTTTTATGTAATAAGCAGCATGAATTCAGTACACTTGCGATTTGACATAATCAAAAGAAATTAAGAACATGGTACTTAATTATGAATACAGATTTGAAAGTGTCCGTTGCTGTGCAAGTGTAGCTCGTTTCAGAAGTAATTTTCTGCGTAGAACTCGAGATCGATATTAGAACTACGCCAAGATATTGAGGTTTTTCGCGGTTAAGAACACGAAAAACGGCTTTAATGGCGACTTTTGTTTGCTCTATGCCATTTAGTACTATTATTACCCTTCAAAATGCGCATTCGGGTGATTACGATTTTTCCTTCAGAAACTATGTCCATTGGAAGATGACATAATGTGTTAGAAAGTATATGCTTGGTTTGGCCGTGTCAGGTTCGAGGACACGGCAGTTTAAGTGGCCGTGCACTTTGAAGGATAATAATGGTGCTAGAAAAATACTTAAAATAATTCCAAATGATTTTTATTATTTAATCATAAAATCTTCTTCTTCGTTTATCTTCTTATTTTCCTTATTTGGGCCTCGCTCCTTTTTGAAAAAATAATACAATTCCCGCTTTTTTTATTTTTCTATATAATTTTTATTTTCTGAGCCTATTTGAGTTAGAAAGAATATAAATTTTAACTATATATCAATAGCACGTTGAATAGCTTACAATGTTGCTTTCAAATGAACCCTATCTCGTAACGAAAAAATAAAAAATAATTTTAACTGAAAATTCAATTAGTAAACAAGATTTACGTTACAAATAGTTCTGCACCGAACACAGATGGATAATTAAGAGTATAGGAAACTGCTTTATTTTATTGTGAAGAAAGCCGAAAGCCCGGTGGATTCCGCGCCAAATAACTTTTTGATATATTGGACATTTCATTAAAAAATGCTGTCGACTTTATTTTCAGTAAGAAAGTTAGTCACTGATTATTTTTTTGTCGAATACTTTTTTATTAACTTCAAAGTAGTACAAGGCAATCGAAGAGAAACAAGCATAATGCAAAAAATAGTTGTCCTTAAATATAAACAACCCTTAAGTTCATGTTGTGCTTTCTTAATTCTCATTAATTTAAAGGTGTCTCAGGATTAAGTGAATTTTCATGTTTGAGGGAAGAAGATTCTTGTTGATATTTATATTGTCTGATACCTCGGAATATATATGACCCACATATAATCAAAAATCTGCGAAACCTGAGAAAAAAATTGTTCCCATCGTTTTCGTTTACGGCGATTTGGGCCATATGCTTTTAAATGAATACAATTTATAAATAGGGCCTCGTGAATTTTTAGTTCCGGGCCCGAGTTTTCTCTCGACGGCCATGCTAGCAGCGAATTAGTTTGCGTTGCGACTAATATCACTTTTGATCTCTTTATATGGAATGAATTGTTCACGTTTGTTCGAGCATATCCTATGAAGGGTATAAAAAGCGACTAGTCACTCTTAAAAAATAAAAATAAAAATTTGCCCCAGCTGCGATTCGACCCAGGGTGCTTAGGTTTGTTAAGCGTATATACGATCGTATGTATATCAATAAATCGTTAATAGTACCCGTTAAAGATAAGTCGGGGACTAATTGATCTCCAATTATACCCGTAAGGGATGAGTCGAGACTAATTGATCTCCATTAGTACCCGTATGAGACTAGTTGCGACTAATTAATGCCCAATTGTACCCGATTGAGGGTAATCTCGGAATACTCTCTTTAGAGATTAGTCGCACAATTTTTTGCAGGGTTGCTGGTGTACGCATACTAAGACAAAAATTGTGCGCTGGTATTGGTAGCTGCCGACGCAGAGCACCACTGTCTTTAAAACAACGCGCAATCAACAAATTTGTTTCATCGGTCACACTTAGGTTTAAAATCCTCACCATGCGGTTCTGTTGTTGTGACTTTTAGCGTTCACGCAAATATAAAAATTATAGCTGAATGGACCTCTAGCTGCATGAAAAGCGTGGTGCCTTCGGATATATGTACATTAGGGTGCCCATCGAAAATGCTTTTTTTGGAAGATTCAAGAACCTACCCCCTAATTTTATTAGTTTTTATGAGAAATATTATTGCCTATTTTTATAGATTTTTTAAAGGTCATTTAGAGGTCGCGACCTGTCGATTTAGGTCAGAAAATACGATTCTTTAGATTTATGTGTTTTTGAATGACTATTTTGGATTCTATTTCAAAGATCGCAAATGATCTGACAAGAGGATATATGGGTCTTTAAAATGGTATATAATAATCTATTGTCGGACTTGGCTTGTTGGGATTTTTTATCGTGTAAAATAAATCAAAAAAACCCATGTTTCTCTTAATTTTTTAAATTTTGGCC